AAATTAACAGAAACCAAGTGAAAAGGTTGTTCTCGAAATCGCAGACTATGTAACAAAACATGTTATACATATAACAAAGTTTTGTAATTTGTAACAGAATTTTAAATAAAAAAGTTTTAAAACACAGTGTTGTATACATTTTTTTGGTTATTATAGCATGTTTTATGTTATCCAACAGTTGCCGGTAAACATCAAAGAAAGTTATAAAATACTGTTGTAAAACCGCATCGCGACTGATCTACACTTAAAAACATGTTATTAAAACATTTGTCTGGTTACTGGTATAGTACGCCAGCAGCAACCGTCGGAGTCATATCGCCGTGTTTAGTTTTGAGTGAGTTTGTTAAATTTTCTTTGCTCTGTTCACGTGGGATTATTTGTTATTTATTCCACGCGATGGAATGGTCGAAAGAACTGACTACTTGTTTAATAATTCAGTTATTTCGTGAACAAGGAGTATTATGGGATCCTACACTTGTGGATTTAAAAACTGAAAAAAAAAATTACAATGCATGGATTGAATAAATAGCCACAGAAGTAACTTAAACCAATTTTCTTTCAGCGAGAATTAAAAAAAGGAAAAAGTGGATTTTTTTAACAGGCTTTTATTTTTAAAAGATAAAAATGTGGCACGTCATTATACTGAAGGTGGTCTCTCTCTCAAGCAATATACTGAGCCACAGGACACTAGAAATATCAATACACCTGAGAAAAGCACACTTTAAATTACTAACGAATTTACATTTTGTAAATACTGAACTCGAACAGCCCAGATAGCAGTTTTACCCATGTTTTTTTTTTGTTTTATATTTTTTTAGTGCCTTATTGCAAACATTTCTTTTTCCCCTCTTTCTCTTTGATTTCGACGTTTTCCTTTTTTGTTATGGTCTTATGAAATAAAGCATTATTTATTTATTTATTTATTAAATTTGAAATTAAAAATTATTCTGCCACGGCACTTTACCGTCTTCACTGATAAAGAACAAAGAAAATTCCTCTCGTATTTTTTTGCCTAGTACAGTAGGTTTTCTAGAAATCCTTTTACGCCAAGTACCATTTGGCTCACCTTCGACTCTTCATGTACCAGTTATTAGTTATCCCGTGAGCGCATCCTCTGAATCAACAGTTCTTGATGGACAGTAGGATAAAGTTTCAGGGTAGTTAAAGGTACCAAGGAGAGAGTGTTCCACAATTAGACATGTTCCACAATCAGACAAAGCATGGAATTTTGAAATTCCCGCCGTAAGTTTGACGTTTTTCGTTCGGATAGTGAGGTTATACACGACAATGTGGTAAACAAAGTTTGAACGATGTTCTCTTGGTTTTGTGCATTTTTTAATAAAAAATCGTTTTTCAAGGTAAGTTTTTTCTATCGTTGATATGATATTATATGCTTTAATTTTTCTTCCGAAACTAGTATTACAAAAACAACCTTTACATCAGATTTTGGGCTATTTTGTCGGCATTTTATAAGTAAGTTTACTTTTGTAGGTTATGTATGAAGGTCACAGTTAAATTTAATTTTGTATTGTAGGTTGTGTTCCACCTTCAGACAGCATGTTTGTTCCACAATCAGACACTGTCTGATTGTGGAACACAACGCTTGTTTGGAGTGTTGTTGAAAAAGTAATTGTTTTTGTAAAAATTTAATTTATATTTCAGGAAAAATGGCTCGAGGACGTCAGCGAAAAAGCGATAAAGGGTAATTTGATGAACAATCCATGAGAGCTGCTGTTAGAGCAGTCACCGAAGAGAAGATATCTTTAAGACAAGCAGCTGAAAGATACAATTTAAAATTTCAAACGTTTTATGAATATGTAAAAAGGCAAAAACAGAATCCCACCAAAGAGATTAAAATGGCTTCAAATTATGCTTGTAGAAAAGTTTTTTCTGAAAATCAAGAAAAAGCCCTAGCCGATTACGTATTAACTTGCTCAAAAATGTATTACGGACAAACGGTCATTAATATCAGAAAACTGGCTTATGAAATGGCAACTATTAATAATTGTAAAATTCCGGAAAATTGGCAAACAAACAAGGAAGCTGGACGCGAATGGTTCCTTGGATTTATGTCCAGACATGCAGAATTAAGTCTTCGACAGCCGGAAGTATGTAGCCTCTCCAGAGCGACATCATTCAACAAACACAATGTTGGACTTTTTAAATTTGGAAAAAGTGTTTCAGAGCCATGGAAACTTTGCAACGGTACAAGAATTTATAATTTAGATGAAACTGCCACCACAACCGTCCAAAAACCGCAAAAGATTGTTACGCAGAGAGGGATCAAGCAGGTCTCTTCCTGTACGAGCGCCGAACGAGGTTTACTGGTCACCACTTGTGTTATATCAGCATCCGGGAATACAATAGCACCAGTCATGATTTTTCCACGAAAGAAGTTTAATCCTCGAATGACTTATGGAGCACCGCATGGTACTTTGGGATTGGTTTCCGATTCTGGATGGATGACCCGTGAATTGTTTCCAAGCGTTGTAAGGCACTTCATTAAACATACGTCCAGCACAAAAGAAACCCCTTCTCTCTTAATTTTTGACAATCACGAGAGTCATCTAACGATAGAAGGAATAAATCCAGCCAAGGAAAATGGAGTGATCATTTTGACCTTACCGTCACATACTTCCAACAAGCTGCAACCATTAGATGTCTCGGTGTTTTTTTCGTTTAAATCATTCTACAATACTGCCTTACAAACATGGCTTTTAGAGCACCCTGGGATACCTGTTTCTATTTTTGATATCGCTGGCTGTGTTGCTTATGCATTTGAAAAATCGATGACTCCCGGTAATATCAAATCCGGATTTCGAAAAACTGGGATTTATCCCTTCGATAAATTCATATTTACAGATGACGACTTTGCAATTAGCAGCGTAACTGATAGGATTGGGGATCAAAACAATGAAGAAGCTCAACGACTTATGGATCCAAATCAACCATCAACATCAAGATGCATTGAAGAAAATATAATGTCAGACTCCTTAGTTTCAGTATCAGTTAATTTAAACACAACACCTACACAAAATCACAAAGAAACTTTCGTAAGTCCACAACAATTTAAAGGATACCCAAAAGCTGAAGAACGAAAAAATCAGAGAAAGAAGAGAGAAAAAGCTAAAAGTATTATCGCCACGGACACTCCAGAAAAGATCGCCCTAGAAGCTAAACAAATGGAGCGAGAAAGAAAAAAAGGTGTTAAGAAGAATAAGGTCGTGAAAAGAAAAGTAATGGATGAAGACTCTACAGACCAAGAAAATGAAGACGCGGCGATGCTTGTAACCGAAAGTTCCGATGATGATATTGATTTTGTAGGAGAAATCGATCCACCACCACTTCTAGATAAGCTTAATAAAGAAGCTTATCTAGAAGAAGATTATCTGCCAGAAGTTGGCGATTTTATTTTAATAGAATTTATGGACAAAAAGAAAAAAAAATATTACATAGCTGAAGTGTTCTGTAAAAAAAAATAAGGAATGCGAGGGCAAATTTTTGAGAAAGTCCGTTAAGTATAATAACAGCTTCATTTACCCCGAAATAGAAGACGTCTCATTGGTATGTTTGGAAAACATTAAGATGGTGTTACCAAAACCAGCACATGTGGGAACAACAAAGAGGCAACAATCTTATTTGAAGTTTGAAGTAAATTTTTCAGCTTTAGAAGTTCGTTAAAACATTTTTACCTTTTGTCTTATTGTGGAACATGCAGTGTCTGGATGTGGAACATGTGTGTTCCACTATCAGACGACTGTCATTCCTTTGTTAAACAAACATTTTTTGAATTAGTTTTTGGTTTATGATGTTTGTTCTACCATAAAAACTTATGTTTAGCCTTAATTTATTTTAGTGATAATCATATTTTGGTTGGTTCAATAAACAAGGTCAATACTTAGCAAAATCTATTTTGTGTCTGATTGTGGAACACTCTCCCCTATACATCGTAGGACAAGTCCTAAGACTTTCTACAAGAATCATCTTCCAGACTGCGTGGGATGTCCCCATGTTTCGTTTTCTAATAAACTCGTCCAGGGATATTCAGCCTCGTAGAGGGTGTGGTTTTAGTTGGTAGGCGACCTGACAGAGGCGCACGGTGGGAGCCCGGATTTCGTGTGAACTCTGTGCCGTTCTCGTGTGGTCCTGCCTTCTAGTTGAATCCCACAATACTAGGGACACCTTCCCTAGTCAGTTTCGAACCTTTCCACCTCATTAAAAAAAAAAGTAGGATGAAATTTATTCGCCTCTTCGAAGAAAATTGTGGAGATAACAACTTGCTAAAACTACCTTTTCTGGCTTTGTAGACTCAATAAGCATTGGTTTTCTAAATACCCTAAATACAGCAGTTAGAATTCACAAGATAAAAGAGCTGTACCACTATATTTTGCTCGAGCTGCTAAGGAAGGCCGCACCAAAAATCTTCGTTTTTAATGTCGTTGTCGCCTGCACAAAATTACACAAGCTGCTGCTGCTATGACGGCATCTTCTACGTATGACGCCATTTTATATACTGCCTAACCTACCAGACATCCAGCTTTTTGTTGTTTTGTTTTTGTTATATAGTCTGGATGCTATGTTATATTATAACAAGTTACATAACAAAGTTGTACAACAAATTCTACAATTTTGTTATTTAACTTGTGTTGTTATATACCTAGTCTGGACCCGGCCTAAGAAGGATTGCTATAATAGACGTTAAAACATAAATTTATAAAAAAAACTTCTATGTATTTATGTTTTGAACTGATGTCCCCATAGTAGATTCTTCATGGATTCTTCTGCATACGCCCGCCACTGGCTTTACTAAACGTCAACGTTTCTTATCTCATATATTTAAATTCTGACCTTTGACAGTAAATTTATATTTCTTGTTATGTTTTTTTTTTCTGTTTTCTTCATTTAATCTTCTCATTGTCAGTTTAATTCAAAATAACAATAACTTAATTTAAAATTAGCTTAAGTATAAAAATTTAAAAAATTCAAACATGACATTCCAGATAAAATTGATTGAATAGAGGTTAACTGATACTTAAACACTTGTAATCGGGCTAAAGTTTAAAAAGTTCATTGGTTAGTTTCTTTACATATAATGTATATAAATTCAATCAATTTCATTTAAAATTAATCGATACAGTTACAGTTTCAGTCATGAGTTTACATAAGGCAGCCAGAGTTTGGAATCCTTGTCAGAACCTTTTATCAAAAGTTAAGGAAAATAAATATGCCATAGTTATCCTAAATACGCCAATTGAATCTAGTTTTAATCCCGCTTTAATTGTAGGACTGTGGAAACAAGGTAATAATATGTTTTACTTATTATTTTTATTGTTTAGGTTAATTTTTTACAGAAATATTGAAATAACATAATGTAATAAATTATTTAAAGTTTAACCACAGCCACCTTTACTTCCTGTAAAGGTGGCTGTGGTTTAACATAAAAATTTAGTACATTGATGTTCACTTATTTACATATTTCGAGAATAGGTGATCATAACTACAAAATGAGGAAGAACAAAACAATTGCTGTTTCCAAAAACAAAAAGAGTAAAAGAAATATATCTCTTTTACGGTTATATTTAATTGTATAGGGCATAGATCACAGAAGACAAGATTTACAAAAAAATGTAACCTTTTATAACCACTATAGAATGTAGCAGAGTTTGATTATTCCAGACTAAAAGAAGTTGCTATAAATAAAACCAATTTTTAGAAAATGGTAAGAACTAAAATCAACATCTGGCTTTCATCATTTTTGAGAAACCAATGTTAGATAATAATTAGGAAATATAAGAAGATTTGTGTAAGTACATCAGGATTATTGTCCAATTGTCCAGTATTCTGAGCACTCTTTCGCATTATGCTTCTTAAGAATTCTGTCTATTGCAGGTGTCTGATTTTTATTGCAATAATTTTATCTTTGTCTTATCCGTAGCATTAAATTTAGATTTTTTACTTCTCAGTTCCAGTTTAAAAAATATATATATTTTATTTTTTATATTTAAATGGTATTGTTAACTTTCTTTCTAAAGCTGTGTTGGCAGTTTTTTTCTTTTTTTTTATTTAATTAATGGCTTTATCTCTTTAATTTATAACTTGATCCATTTAGCCACAATAATGTGTGACTACTTGAATTTGTTAATGATGTATTGACCTATTGACATTTGCTAACAAAATATTACTTCACATAGAAGTAAATTAAAAATATAATGTAAACATTAGTATCACAAGAATCAGTAGATTGACAAACCATACTTTCATTTGTTCCATACAAGGCCCTAACCAACTTGAAAGTGAATATTTGGAACCAATAAGGGATTACATAATATAGGGATACTTTTCACGCTAAGGTGCCTTTCATAGCTACTTTATGTCAACACAAGACAGGCAACGGCTAGGAGGTAAATATATAACATAAGGATAGACAGAGGGAACAAAGCTAGATTTATACATTCACATTACACATTCCATCCTAAATTTTTCTTTTAGTCCTTTTTAAATATTCCCCAAAAATTTGGTTAAGCCTAATATTATGACGAGAGATATATAAAATAAAAGATTGACACTGAAGAAGAGGTATTTGTTCTTTTATCAGATTTTCCAATAGATCCCAGATTTCCAGCATCATTATATATGCACCCGAACATCCAATGATTGATATCGTCAGTGTTACCATTACAATCACAGAGTTCTGTTTCACTTAAATTAAATCTATAAAGATAGGCCTTCACAGTAGCATGATTAACAAGGCATCTAACAAACATTGAATATACTCTTCTACTGGGATGATTTCTTGGAGCAAAAGGCGCAGTAGGTAAAACAGGGTGAATTTTCATATAAAGGTTGTTACTTCTTTTACAAAAAGCATTCCATTTAACAGTTTTCTTTTAATTCTTGTGTACACAGTGAGACTAAATCTCTTCTATTGAGTCAACTAATTTGTTTTTCTTTTTTACCTTTTGTTTAAAAGTACATTACATACCTGTAAATGCATGTTCAGTGGAGTCTGAAGAGAAGCTGATATTAGATCAGTTATCCACCTCTTGTGGCAAATATTAAATTAAGTTTAAAAAATATCAAATATTTGAAAATTTTCTTTTTTTTTTGGTGGTACCGCCAAATTGATCTTTGGACTCTGGTAATAGTTAAACAATAAGTAAGAGCATGCTAATCAAAATTAATGCAGTAGACAACAATTATTAGCGAAGATAGAATAAAAACTGAGAGAATCCATGAAAAATAATTACCATAGAGAAAAAACAACTTTCTTAGTAGGAACACATGAAACAAACTAACAGTCAGAGGTTACCAGTTATAGCCTAGGTACAATAGATCTTTACTCTTCTCTTTAGGCAACAAATTGTACTGATTTCATTGTTAGTAGATTGGCTCTTCCAACATTCAGCTTTTTAATGACATACCTAAGTGCCAAATTAAACATTGTTGGAGCCAGATTTATGTAAATTTTGTAATATGTGCATTAAATAGCAATCTTCCATTATTATAACTTTCTTGTTTGCATATATGATGGTTAACTTAGACACTAGCATTGGCTCATCTTGATATTCTAATTTTTAAAATTGTATTCTGACCCCAAACTTATGTAAATATTACACTAATTTCAACATATATGTATAATTACAGCTAAGGTTAGAGTAACAGTTGATGGTGGTACAGAACGCTGGCTAACATGGTTAAAAATGAATGAATCAGAGTTTAAGAACATACCACATCCTGATTTAATCACGGGAGACATGGATTCTATCCCGCAAGATATTTTGAACCACTATAAAGGAATATCAGCAACAACTATAATTAGTACTCCTGATCAAGACGAGACTGATTTTTTTAAATCCTTAATTGAACTGCAAAATCATTGTAGCTCAAATAATATAAAGGTAAGTGAGTCATTTGCGGATGTTGTTATCTTGTGCAAAACACTCTTCCCACTTTGTTGAATTTTGCCTGAGTCTTTTCTATCTTTATTTTAATTTCCTGAAAGTAATTATATATGGAGTTAATGATTGTTCCCAGATATGCATATTATTTCACTTGTTTGACATTAGTCCCATTTATTAGAAGATTCTCGTTGTCTCTTTGAGTTTATGATATTATCATACTTTCTTTTCTTCTTGATGATTTGAGGATATGATATGATGATATTTGATGATAAAACATTTAAATGCTGTAATACTAAGCCAAATCAAACGATAGTATGTGGTGTGAGGAAAAAGTTATCTCCTTGATGATTTGATGATATGATACGATGATATTTGATGATTTGATGATAAAACATTTAAATGTTGCAGTACTAAGTCAAATAAAACGACAGTATGTGTGCTGTGCGGAGCAAGTTATTATATTTCCTGTGCCATTAAAAGCAAGTTAAAATGTACTTAAATATGTAACACATGCATGGTCTGCTACGATAAACAATCTGATGTTACTGAACCCATGAATCTTATGCAGTTAGAAAATAAAATGCTTAGACACTTATTGTAGAAAAAGAAGATAAGCACAAATTACTGTTTAATTACAATGAACTTTTAAAATCTACTTAATAACTATTTGCTGAAAAAAAAGTCAATTTATTAATGGCTGAGTTAAAAAACTATTATATTAAAGATAAAAATTTAATACCAATTAAACTTAATGACCCAGAAAATGAAAACATCGAAAATAAATATAAACGTCCAATTCAATCGGATGTAGACAATTTTTTATACAAAACAAACAATTTATCAACAAAGGCACTTAAGGTGCAATGCGAATATTGAAACAATAAAATGGACAAAATAATTATCTCACTTTGCCTATGGGATAGGACCTATATTTACTGATGCCCAAAAAGTGCAGGATTTAAGTGATTTTACAACAGTGCATTATAAGAACAGAGGAAGACCACAGGCTGGTGATTTTGGTGCTGACCGTAAAATTTGGTTATACCTCTATAGAATTAAGCGGCATGTATCATTTGGAAATATCACGATTTACGATGGTATTGTAAAGGAACTCGCGACTGAGGAAAACCGTAATAAGTTTTTTTATGTTTGAGATTAGCAAAAAAGATCAAATCTACCAACAATCTACTTAGCCTAATGGAATCGGCTTCAAACGTTTCGACTTCAAAACATTCCACTACTATCAACATAACAATAAGGATTTTGGAAGGCATTCCCTGGAGTGGAGAAATGCTGGCTGCCGAAAACAAAATAATAGAAAGATGGGCTGAATATTTTGAAGAGTTCCTGAATATCCAAAATTTCACTGATGAAAACAATGAAAATGGTGGAAACAACGGAGGACATGAGCATCAAACCAAAGAATATAGACGCTTAATTACGCATAATTAATAATTAATTACGCATGCCATAAAAATGCTTAAAAACGATAAATCCCCTGGTCTGGTGTTCAATCACAAATTAACCCCTTAATTTGTAATCTCACATTATTCTTAACTTCTTAATCTTTTATAGTTTCACCGTGTATAAGTTTGCATTATACATATTGCAAAACCATATCGTATGATAATTTAATAATTAGTTCATTTACCTACAACTAAATAAATTGCCGAATAATAATATTTTCTAATTGAACTTCCTAAGTGTCGCAATTAAGGCGTAGATTAAATTGTATTATAAGCAAAAGTTAGGTGGTGTTATATGAACGAAGCAATGACCTAAGGTGCTTATGTATCTATTATGTGTGAGATTATAAATTGGGGATTTGAGTTCAAATGAACACAGTCAATATTGAGTAGTTACCGAACGAACACCATATTGTGTAATTACGAGTTGCTGTCAATAAATCATCACTTTACTCTACAACTTCAACATTTATTAACCCTATTAACATCGATCGACGAGAAGCGGACAAAGGGGCATTACGAACCGAACCGAACTTCAATACTAAGTTCAATATTTTACATCTGGACAATATTGATGCCGAGCTAATTAAAACAGGCGGTCATGAACTCATAAGTAAAATCCATCAATTAATAGAAATGGCCTGGCAACAAGAAATAATGCCGAAAGAATGGTGTGGTAGTATTATTGTACCAATACACAAGAAAGGAAAAAAGGAGTCATGCATGAATTATAGAGGAATCTCACTAATTAACACTACATATAAAACATTGGCTTCGATATTATTAAAAAGATTGGTACCATACGCCGAAGAAATAGTTGGTGACTACCGGTATGGTTTCAGGCCTGCCAGATCGACTATTGATCAAATATTTACAATAAGACAAATGCTTGAAAAGTATTGGGAATATAATCACGACATGCATCAGATTTTTATAGACTTCAAACAGGCTTATGACTCAATTAATCGTGCAACATTATGAAAGGCAATGATCGAGCTCGGGATACCCAAGAAACTAGCTTCGGTGACACAAATGTGTGTAAGTAACTCTTGTGCACAAGTTAGAATATGGGGAAAAATATCAAATGCTTTCTGAGTAAATTCTGGACTGAGACAGGGAGATCCGTTGTCCCCATTGTTGTTTAACCTGGCTTTAGAATATGTCATGCGAAAAATATATCCAAAAATCAAACCAGACATAACTGTTCGGGGAGCAAAAATCATACTCGCCTTTGCCGATGACGTAGACGCAGTAGCACAATCAACAATAAAAATAAATGAAGACAAAACAAAATACATGGTCATCTCAAAACAAGAACGACGGTGAATAAGGCAAAACATTACTATAAATGATCAAAACTTCGAAGTGGTTAAAGAATTTAAATATCTAGGAGCAACAATCACAAATGACAACAAATTAGAGCGAGAAGTTGAAACGAGAATAATGGCAGGAAATAGATCTTTTTTTGCAATACAACATGTGATGAAGTTGAAACTTCTTTCACGAGGTGCAAAGATCTGGATATATAAGTCCATAATACGATCAACAGTCGCGTATGGAAGCGAAACATGGACGATAACAAAAAGAGAAGTAAATAAATTGCTGGTATGGGAACGTAAAATTCTTCGAATGATATATGGCCCTTGCAGAGACAGCATGACAAACGGATGGAGGGGCAGATACAATAACGAGCTAGAGTCTCTATTCGGAAAAGAAAATCTAGTCACATATATAAAGGCCAATAGACTAAGATGGACAGGACATGTGATACGCAGTAACGACAATCGCCTTATAAACAATGTGTTCTGGGAAAGGCCAGATGGAAGAAGGTCTGCAGGGCGGCCTAGAAAAATGGGAATTACTGGCACAGGACCGACAAACATGGAAGGCAATAGTAAACACGGCAAAGACTCACGAAGAGTTGTAGTGCCATTGATGATGATGATGATGATGAAGGCCTTCCCAGATAATAAAGGAATTAGTATCTCTCAACCAATGTCAAATATAATCTTTCACAACATAGGGCACAAAAATAACATAAATAATATTGTCGTCAGTGTAGTAGGTGATAAACTGGATACCAGTCTATCTAAATCGAATATCAGTAATAAAGTTTCTATTATTTTATACAAAATATGTTCTGTGTGCAATAAAGTTGAGGAACTTGAAGTGTTTCTTAGCGAAAATGATTGGTCAGATCTTATGCTTTTAATTGATCATTGATCCTCTAGAATCACTTTGTATTAACAATTAATCCTTAATATCTAAATCTTGCAGAGCTGAAAGCATCTATGGAGGAACATTGATTCTAATTATTACAGTATAAAATTCAGTACAGTATAGTTTCAGTATAAAATCAATTTTGTTGACTACAATAAATATAACCACTTCTGCAATGAATCTGAATTTAAATTCTCTAGTACTTTCATTAAGAAGCTTAATACTTTTCTCATTGTTGTGTACAGACCGCCTAAGTTTATTATTCAGTTATTCTTTCACAGATTGGAATCCTTACTTAAAAAAATTCCACAAAATGCTTTTATAATCTTGACAAGTGACTTTAATATTGATTATCTGGATTCATCACACAGCCATGTTATTACCATTATAAATTTACTTAATAGTTTTAATATGAGAATGTTGGTTACTGAACCAACCAGAGATAACAGCATATTGGATTATATTTGTACTAATCTTCATCCGGATCTGGCGGTGTGCAGAGGGATTCCGTATTTTTCATCGGATCGTGATCCCGTTCTATGTGAATTTCCCCCTAAGAATCCACCTTACACAGCCAGATGGGGTAGGATTTTCAGCAAGTGTAATCTTGACAGATTTATCAAATTATGTACTCAGGAAGATTGGCATAATATTTTTTGGTCTCCTGATTTGGTCCATCAATTTCATCACTCTCTCATGAAAAATGTCTGAAATTTGTTATTTCAAAACAGAATTCTTAAATTGAAAAATAAAAAACTTGGGTTACTATTTAAAGGAATTAGAATTTCCGACAAAAGCTTACAATCGTTACACTACATTAAAACAAACATATAATATACAACAATGAATTTTTCATGTGTTTCTCTAAATGTAGGTCCATCTATAGGAAGGTTACTAAATTAGCTAAATGTATATCTTTTAAATCTAAAGTGGAAAATGCCAATAACAAAAAGGAATCTTGACATATAGTTAATATTCTTAGAACTAAAGTTCCCCAAACTACTGATATAGGCTTAGACCCTAGTGAGCTAAATAAATATTACTGCTCGGTAGATCCAGAACTCGCTGGAAAAATTAATTCGTTTTATTTTTTCCTACTAACTCGGCTAAAATAAAAAATATTATAAAAAGCATTAAAAATCCTATAGCTACAGGCTGGGATTATAATCCATCTAAAGTTTTATTCCATCTTCCTGATAATCTTCTGAGAGTTTTAGCGAAGGCAATTAACACATCTTTTCAGTCACAAGTCACCTCAGTGGTTGTTTAAAATTTGTTAAGGTTATTCCTTTGTATAAATATGGTGACCATGATTTACCTGCTAATTATCGTCCTATCTCTTTGTTACCGTCGCTGTCAAAGGTTGTTGAAAAATTGGTAACAATCCGAATGATGACATTCTTACAAAAAAACAATTTACTTTCTTCCTTCCAATTCGGTTTTCAGTCATTAAAAAGTACATATGGTACCATCTTCAAATTCATGCACTGTTATCATAAAGTCCATGTTGTTCATTTGGAATGTTGTCTTTGATTGATCGGACAAGAGATAAAAGTTTTTGTTGGGGGTAAATATTGTTTTCATTCCTCTCGATTTAAGAATTTTGTCAGTGGCACAGTGACATATTGAGTGGGAGATTGATTGATGTCTGTGGATGCTCATATTGATTCCGCGGTAACTGTTTTGGATGAGGGCTTGTTTTCAAATGTCCTAATGTTTTTAAGTTTGAGTGTAATCCTGGTAATAAATGGGTGCGATCTGACGCCACGTCTGCTCCGCGACATACTTTCACAGTTTTAACAGCATTATTACTATGTATTAAATTAATCTTATGTACATTACATAATTTACATGTCGTTTTTAGTTGGACACCATTTATGTTCTTGCTGATACATCCGGCCGGTTAGACCAAGTGATGGCAAACATTAACACCCTATATAAAATGAGAAACATTATGAGCGATATTGATATATTTTTAGTAGCTTCCTCTTCGATTAGTTGGTTGTTAGATACAGGTTCACACGAAATAATCCTACCACAGAACTTGATAAAAAGTGGAAGTTGGTGTGCGCTTTTGCCTGTAGGAGCCCCCAGCATTGTAACCTCGTCGGGACTCAAATGGAATTTAAGTAAGTATTATTGTAGGTAATATTTATTAAAAATTGTTATTTTGTGTTAATAGAATTATCTCATCAGTATTATCTTTGGCATTAAGCAGTTAATATTTTTTCATTGGGTATTTACTTGGACTATATAGGATATTTGACTTCTTGTATTCTTCATGTAACGTGCTGGTTATTTGTGCACCAACGTTTTCCGTTCTCCCAGCAATATTGATATCATCAGCATATGTAAGGATTTGCCCTGATTTATTATATATTGAACCAATTGATGTGATTTGTCAGTCAGAATGTCCACTCTCAGATGAAGCCTTTGGAAGGAAACACATAACACAGACCTATGATTTGTGAGGTTGTTATTATATTTAACAGGATGTTATTATATTTAACAATGTTAATATAATTGTATAGTATGTCTATGATTGCCGTAAGTCAATTAAACCGGGTTACTTTTTCTATGTACACCACAGAAACAACACTGGTTCCCTCTAAAACATGGCGGAACGTCTGCGCGAAGGAAATGCGTGTACTTAATTTTCCATGGAGAGTGGACATTCTGATTGTTTATTATTCTATGGTTTAATATTCTTCTTATTGGTTTAAAAAAGTTGTTTATTTTTCTGTATATGTCGAATAAATATACTGATAAAATCTTTTGTTGCAGATGAGGATACTTTAGAATTTGGAGCTTTAGTTAGTTCTTCAAATACTTATGACGGTACATGTCCAATAAACATTAAAACTAGTTCTCCTTTAATCTGGTCGATGAGTATTGAATCACTTTTATAAGACAAACATTTTCCAAAGACTAAATATATATATATATATATATATATATATATATATATATATATATATATATATATATAGAAAAGAAATTTAATCTTTGCAGATAAGTTAAATAGTAAACTCTTAAATAGAGATTTCCCCAATATTTAAGAGTTTACTATTAATATATATTAGCATCAACAAAAACACCAAACTGAAACCTCAAAATGAGTGCCCTTTTCTAAAACGAGTATGTTCGATTATGGTTTTGATTAGTTTTAATATTACAAGTTATTTTTAATGTTTATCGGAGTTTGTTATGCATTAGTTTTATAATAATTGTTATCAGAGAATGCTTAGTAAGGCTTTATTACTTATTTTTAGGACAAAACTATTAGTTGTTTTACAATATAGACTACTTATTTACTAATATACTTAAAACACTTTTTATTTATATGATACCCAGAAGCTTAACTTTGGAAGGTTACTTAAGTTTAACTAATATCTGTTTGTTTCCATTTTTGACATTAATGGTATATAGCAACAATTTTAGTCATCTGATCTTTATTATATTCAAAATAGTTTCCGTTGCTCTCGTTTGGCTTCTTATATTTTCATTGTTACATGCTCAATTCGATAGTCTATTTCAGTGGCATCAGCAAAATCTTTGTTTTTTTTTCTGCAAACAACTCTGAATCCCATCGAAGCAGTTTCGTTAACTTAACATTTTATCTGCCCTTCTTAATGCAGTGTTTCCTTTATGTACCTACTAAAAACATTGATCCCTATGATGTATTGTTTATATAAAATAATTACATGGTGTAAACTACAATTTTAACATATTTATGATTATCGTGGCTGAATGGATAAAGTTATCCAAACCATTAATAAAAAAAACACGCTTATGTAAATTAAACTTAATTTTTGACCTACCAAAAATTACATGTCGTTTTTAGTTCTGATTTAGGTTATGTTATTTTCAACCACTTGTCTTTTCGTTGGTTTTCTCAATGTTTTGCTATATTTTTGTTGATACGGCTTACATTAGAAAAAACAACAAGAAAACAATTTAAGTTGATGTTCGACTTTTTAAAATCCAATAAAATGTTTCTGTAGCAAAATAAAACCAACAGAACGTAAATTATAACAGATCTACATCATGGGACGGAACTGTAAATTACATTTTATGTAGTTTTGACCTATGGTTGCATGTTAAACGAAACGCCTACATCATTTTACGTCTAACACACCGTGTTTACAGAGTACACTTGTATGTAATTATTTTCGTAAATGATCATAGGTGCCATTAACTAAGAAGTCATCGGATATTGTTTTATAATTTTGCTTATTGTTCTTCTTCTTCTTCTTCTTTCTTCTAGTATGTAGGCTTTAAAGCCTGTTTCTTCTTCAATATTAGCCTCCTAAATTGTTTAAATCGTCGCACCATCTTTTTCTTGGTCTGCCAATACTTCTTCGTCCATTTGGTGACTTATCTCGTGCTATTCGTACTATTCTATCCTCTGCCATTCTACTGATGTGTTCGTTCCACTCTTGTTTTCGTTTTGTCACCCATCCATTTATGTCTTCTATATTGCATGCTCTTCTTATGTTTTCGTTTCTCTTCCTATCCAACAGACTTCTCCCGGATATTCGTCGGAGTATTTTCATCTCTGTTAATTCTAGCAGTCGTTTCGTTTTAGATGTGTCAGGTCTTGTCTCCGGCGTGTATGTTAATATAGGTCAATTGCTGCTTTATAGATTCTTGTTTTTGTGTCTTGTCTTAGGTGTTTGTCTTCCGACCTGCGTATTTTCTTCGTTGAGGGGATATGACCCTGCCTCATCTGAATGAAGAAAGCTGATAAGCGCCTATACCGCAGACCAGCGTCCGAGACTGAAAAGGCTTCACGCCGGCCAGTGGCCAGGGAGCCTGGATTAGTCACCGTCCGGTAGTTAAGGCACTTGACGATGCATTCGAGAAGTGGCTTTGTTCCCGGGAAGCAAATCTTATCGGGTAACCCAATGGGGTACTCGGCAGAGAGGGTGGCAATAGCCCCCTTTACATCTAGGGACACCGGAATGGAGCGGAAATATCCTTCCAGGGTATTGGCGAGCTCATTGTAAGCAGCTGCTGGCAATGGCTTCATCCAAGTGGTGCGGAGTTCGGCAGGTTTGAATACAAACCTGACCGGGTCCGTCCGATACCCTGTCACCACAGAGTATACCCTGAGGCTCATCAGTGATGAGCGCTCAATGGCATACTTTAAACCACGGGGGTGGGACCACCCAAGACCGCTGAACTTCTGCGGTAGATAGAGTGGTAAACCACAACGTTGAGCCTAAACCACAGAGCGCCGCGGGTGGACTGGCGGCACCTATCTACTGATGAGGCTAAGGAGGACCCAATCTGGGTCTACTCCAGCCTCAAGTCTTTGGAGTCACCGCTGGTTGTCTGAGAGGCAATGCCTCTCAGAAACTCAGAAAAGAGGAAACCAATCTTCCGATCAGCCGTCACAGTGGCAAACTCTTCTGCTACTAGCAGAAAGGCGCCAACCTCAAGGGATTGCACATAGTGCTTTCCCGCGGGGACCATTTGCTAGCTCCAGTAGGAACTCGTAAATGACGGTGACAGCAAACGGACAGATTGCTGCAAGATCGTCTCCCACAAGAATAGAAAGTTCATGGAACTTTCCTACTTCCTTTGGAAAGGCAAAATAATTCCAAACACCGGCACTGTCTGTGATGAATTGCTGCACTACCCCCCTTATGCACTATACCAGCTTATTGTTTAGTTTTATTTTTTTGGAAACATTTATTAAAGTAAAAAAGTTATTGTGTTGCTAATATCTAAGTTAAAAACAAATAGAAATATTGCCAAAGTGGCGGTTGTGGGTATATTTTACTGCCTTTTTAGTTATTACAGTTAGTTTTTTTTATATAGAGATTTTTAGAGACTGTAGAAAAGTACTTAGTGTTGATTTTGTTTGTTTCTAAGATCTATATCTAAGAGTATTTCTAAGCGGTATGTATGTTTGTATCACACTGCAAAAGCTGTTAAAATGATTGCAAAAATTATATACCCATATAAGTGAAATCACGTAACTAATAAATTTTTAATATATTTCTCATGTGTTAATCATCTCACGGTTTTAAATCATTTTAGAAGTTCCTAGTGATGATATTAATGGTTTACAATAAGCTTCAACGTTATTTTTCTGTACAAATGACTTTGCAGCTACCTGATTTCACTTATGTTCTCGATGTAAGAGTTTACATATGCCTTGCAAAATTTCCAAAGTGAGTCCTTAACATACTAAAGATATTTCTAATAGTATCTAATAGTTTAATAAAACTCTTCTTTTATCTTATTTTTAGAAAAATTTTAAAAAACTATTTACAGTTTTACAGATTAAAAGGGACCTAATTTTTCAAAAATTTTCCACAAATATCACATGATCCGCTGTATATGTGTGTAACATGTAAGAACCTACTAAAACGCATATTTGAACATTAAATACGATGTGGTCCTTGGCTCAAAAAGTTGTGCTTGGGAGTAGAATTTTTGTATCGCTTGCAATTTTTTGTAAGTACTTGTAATATACTACCAGATGTAAGACACTTCCGGAGCTTGTGTCTTCTTCAACCAACGTTTATCGACTGTCTTTCATAAGAGATAAGACACTTCAAGTACTTGTTTCTTCTCAGACGACCATTTTCGACTGTGTTTTGATGTTGTTTTTATGTGACTTGGATAAAGAGAAAAGTCTACTGCCTGACCTCAGCAGATCCCGTTTAAGAAAGTAGAAGGATACCAATAATATTTTGAATACATAAATATTTAATGACCATAATTAAAATTTTGTGAAAATCTCGAATACTAGCCAAGGAAAGAGACATTGATCTATGGAAAGGCATATGCTAAACATTAATCTGTCAGGAAAACAAACTAGTGGATTTCTAGTAGAATCAAAGTAACAGACGTTAATGGAAATTTTATGGAGAGGCAGAAGATCACGATAGATGAAATCAAACATGCTATCAAAAATACAAAATATAAAAATTGAGACTTGTTGGAAGAATTATTGGTTGAAGAATCTATGTACGTGATTGGTATCCAAGCAGATCGATTGATTTGTTTGCGCAGCAAGTCCAAAAATGATACTATACTACTATATTTCTTAACCATTAGATCTTTATAAGCTGGCATAGAGTCCCGGGGTTCTGGAATACGCATAATAAATAAATAGAAGATATAGAAAATGCCACTATATTACATAATAAATTGCTTTCTGAATGTGCCCTCTCTAGATATTCGTCTTGTAAATTAACCTCAGGATTTTCTTTCTGTGATATGTAAACCATAATCCAAGTCTGCAAATGGCATCCAAAGACAATTTTTCACAGAATGAAGAGAACCCTCATGAACACATAATGGATTTACATAAGAGATTTTTGCGAGTACTCTTATCAATAAATGTAACCCTCATTGCTAAAACATGTTTCATTTAAATCATCGATTCTATTTTATTGAATCATTCTCAATGTTTCATTCTCTGACGTGATCAGTAGTGTTTAATTCTTACTGGACTATCACTTTGTATGAGAAAGGTTTAGTTTTTCTCCTCGCAGGTATGTGACTGTTTTGCCATTAACATAAATGTTTGCTGTGCAAGTTTCCGATTTACTTATTCGGATTTCTGGATTATGTTTGTCTATTTATTGTCAGCTTTAAACACTGATAAAAAACAACATGTTCAGTGATTAGCATTTTAAGAGTGATAACACGAACAAGGCAAAGGAACTATACTGAAACGTTGCATAATGTTGGGAGATTACATGACCATATATAAATAAATACAGTACAAGTTATTCAAAATATACATTGAATTACGAAACAATTAACATTAACACGAAAGTTAACGTTTCAAGTGTTCTTTTTACTGTTGATGATGGTTCTCCATCTTTCTATACTCTGGGTTGCTTATACTGCACGTAAGAAGTTTGTATCTAGCAGTTTTTCGATCTGGTTGGGGTTCACCTTTATTTTTCATAATTCATGAAGAATTAAACCTACATAGAAATAAAGTAAGTCATCCTTTTATTTCTATGTTGAATTTAATTCTTCACTTGCCAGTTTTAAAATTCAAAATGTCAAAAATTATGTCAAAAATCTAATCAAA